CACGCACCGTCATCCGCCCCCAAATTAGGATTCCCTGTGTTACAGTACCAGAAACTGACATACGTACTTATATGCGTTTAAATATATACATAAATATAGATAAAAAACACCCAGACAAAGAACAAACAAACTTGCTCATTACACGAAAGTTTGCCTGATGCAGGAGTCGAACCCACGACCCTCGGCACGACAATCATAAGCGCCGACTACTACATCACCAAGTCCGTCATAATAATAATTACCTTATTATATTTCTATTTAACAACAAGCTCCTCAAAGCTTTGCAATCGAAAATTTAATTTCGCACACGCTCATTTGGTACTTTTTTAACCGACTTCAAGAAAGGAGGGGGTTCTCAATTCGACCGTATGTTTTTTTTTTTATGTTTGTTACCTCATAACTTTTGCTGGGTGAATCGATTTTGATGATTCTTTTTTTATTAGAAAGCTGACGCTTCCTGTGTGGTCCCATTTCAACTTAGTCCAGTTCTGATAATGGTATCCATGAGAAAACCATATAAGTCTTAAATTTGCATTAAGTACGTGCGCGACAAATAGATGAATAACTCAATAACTCAATATCACGCCAACCGATTTCGATGATATTGTTTTTATTATAGTGTATATTAATTTGTTTTGGAATATCTATTTTTTTTCTATTTGAAGTCGGTTTTTGTTAAAGCATGTCTATTTACAATTATATATATTTTTTTTTATTGCTTAGATGGGTGGACGAGCTCACAGCCCACCTGGTGTTAAGTGGTTACTGGAGGCCCATAGACATCTACAACGTGAACGCGCCACCCACCTCGAGATATAAGTTCTAAGCTCTCAGTATAGTTACAACGGCTACCCCCACCCTTCGAACCGAAACGCATTACTGCTTGACGGCGGAAATAGGCGGGGTGGTGGTACCTACCCGTGCGGACTCCCAAGAGGTCCTACCACCAGTGAAATTAATTAATTTACCACCTATTTCTTATACATTAAACTCTATTCCAATTACGAAGTCCCATGAGACAGATCTTAATAATATGTTATTGTGTGTGTGAATTAATTGTATTTAATGATTTAGATTGATTGGGTATTTTTTAAATAATGTTTACGACCATGACCCAAAAAATGATTATTATTTCAAAGTATGCGAAACGTGAAGAGTTAGGTTCTCAAAGTGTCTTTTTTTATCCTACCTATGCTGATGGCCCTGAGAGGCTGTTTCATCTTCGCCCTAACATGTAGGTGAGGTCACGGGGCTCAAATTGGAGTGCTGCTAACAGTGGCTCTAGCAAGAGCCGTGCTTCGCAGAATCTACCACCGGATCGGAAACGCGACCCACTGAGAAGATCCGGCGAGAAACTCAGTGGGCTGTGTCTGAGGGTTAATTTACTCGTCGAGCCCTTCGTCGCAAGCGACGGTTTCGGCGAGGACGGTGACCGGTGCTTGTGGTACCTAAAAGCACCGTTAATGGATCGGGAGGATCGGTAATGACGTGTTTTGGGCAAAAGTGTCAAAAGGGACTTCGTGATTGGAATAGAGTATAATTAATATCATTAAACTAATACTATTATTGCACTTCATTAAACTTAAAATAAGTTCCGAATCATTATAGATACATCGAAATACAACAAAGGCCCGATTTAAAGTAGCAAGCAACTAAAGATTATCTAACTAAAGATATCACGTTCAAAATTCAAAAAACCAATTTATAATTAATTCGGTTTGAATTAAACAAATAAATGACCAATGACACGTGACATCCTTACCCCAAACCAAAATTACCTGTCGGAACCAGAGACTCTTAAACACACTTAAATACATTCATATACAATAATATACACATAGAGATGTTAACAGACCCCCTAACAAACACTTGTGTGCTTTGTGCGAGTTTTTTAACGTTCTCGATAGCGTGAAAGTTAACTCAAATTTGTATGGAGTTGGAACAGCTTCCCTACGTTTGCCGATAGGGACGCTGTTCTAACTCCATACAAATTAGCCATACACTAAGCACTCTATACAGTAAGCACACTGTTCGTTATAGCCAGCTAATCGAACCCAAAAGAGGATGGACAAATTTGTCTGCTCCTAATATCACGCAGTCTTCGCTCGACGCGATAAGGACCCGTTGAATAAAACTGTGCATATCGACGCTTGAAAGGCAAACGTGACTAAGCGACATTAACTGCTTTGTACATAAATGATAGGCAATAACCATATTCGATGCGCAAAAAATATATATTTCTAGGTCTATTAAAATCATTTCAATCCTACAGCTAGATTCGTTAAAATAGATTTTTTTTCAGGTATTTCAACTTTAAATTAGTCTACTGTAAAGTTCACGCATTGTCGCTTAGTCACGTTTGCCTTTCAAGCGTCGTTAAGAAATTTTCTCTGTGGCTGTTACACAGCATTGGATGGACAGGGGTGAAGAAGATAAAAAAGAAAAGATACATCAACACTTAAATTACCAACGTTTACACGACTAACTTGTGATAAAATAATTAAAACTATATTAACGATTTTATGGCGCCTTTTTTTTAAGTCAATTAAAGATTTGTTTGATTTTTCGAATACTTCACAGCAGCCTTTCTCAAAGTGGGCGATAACGCCCTCTTGTGGGCGCTGAAGGGAGGCGGTAAGAGATCCAGGAAAAAAAAGGGGGCCTTGTGTAAAAGCTTGGGAGGCGATTTGTAATTCATCTAGAAATACTCTTAGACACCGACTGAGCTGTCACTATGGTGGTTTTTAGTAGATAAAAAATGGGGGCGCTAAAAACTAATTTATTCTCAAAGTGGGCAATAGACAAAATAAGTTTGGGAACCCCTGTTTTACAGCCTTCGTGGTCGCTAATGAGGACCTGGTTAAAATTAAAGGTCGGTAGCGATCGGGATCAAAATCAAATCGAATTTCGACCGGATAACCTGGCCAAATCCGGCCGGCATTACGTATAAAATACTTTATAACTATTATTTACATGGTAACTTAATTGTGGTTTCGCTAATTCTATTCCTACAACATCTCAGCTTCCTATATCTAGATTCTAGAGAACAAAAGTTTGACAGGAGCTTTGCTACTCTCCTGAAATTACATTAATCCGGATTTTGTAATTGTGAATTGTATTAATTTTTAATAAGTCCATCAATAGAATTTTATAAGAATGATTTTTAAAAAAAAAGAAAAATTTGAAATTANATACAGTAAGCACACTGTTCGTTATAGCCAGCTAATCGAACCCAAAAGAGGATGGACAAATTTGTCTGCTCCTAATATCACGCAGTCTTCGCTCGACGCGATAAGGACCCGTTGAATAAAACTGTGCATATCGACGCTTGAAAGGCAAACGTGACTAAGCGACATTAACTGCTTTGTACATAAATGATAGGCAATAACCATATTCGATGCGCAAAAAATATATATTTCTAGGTCTATTAAAATCATTTCAATCCTACAGCTAGATTCGTTAAAATAGATTTTTTTTCAGGTATTTCAACTTTAAATTAGTCTACTGTAAAGTTCACGCATTGTCGCTTAGTCACGTTTGCCTTTCAAGCGTCGTTAAGAAATTTTCTCTGTGGCTGTTACACAGCATTGGATGGACAGGGGTGAAGAAGATAAAAAAGAAAAGATACATCAACACTTAAATTACCAACGTTTACACGACTAACTTGTGATAAAATAATTAAAACTATATTAACGATTTTATGGCGCCTTTTTTTTAAGTCAATTAAAGATTTGTTTGATTTTTCGAATACTTCACAGCAGCCTTTCTCAAAGTGGGCGATAACGCCCTCTTGTGGGCGCTGAAGGGAGGCGGTAAGAGATCCAGGAAAAAAAAGGGGGCCTTGTGTAAAAGCTTGGGAGGCGATTTGTAATTCATCTAGAAATACTCTTAGACACCGACTGAGCTGTCACTATGGTGGTTTTTAGTAGATAAAAAATGGGGGCGCTAAAAACTAATTTATTCTCAAAGTGGGCAATAGACAAAATAAGTTTGGGAACCCCTGTTTTACAGCCTTCGTGGTCGCTAATGAGGACCTGGTTAAAATTAAAGGTCGGTAGCGATCGGGATCAAAATCAAATCGAATTTCGACCGGATAACCTGGCCAAATCCGGCCGGCATTACGTATAAAATACTTTATAACTATTATTTACATGGTAACTTAATTGTGGTTTCGCTAATTCTATTCCTACAACATCTCAGCTTCCTATATCTAGATTCTAGAGAACAAAAGTTTGACAGGAGCTTTGCTACTCTCCTGAAATTACATTAATCCGGATTTTGTAATTGTGAATTGTATTAATTTTTAATAAGTCCATCAATAGAATTTTATAAGAATGATTTTTAAAAAAAAAGAAAAATTTGAAATTAAAAATTGAAAAATAAATAATCGTTTAAAAAAACTAACAAAATACGCTTTTATAGAAAATCCAACTAAAAAATAGAAAAAAAAATTTAATGAATTTGAATTAAAAATAGTGTAAGAAGAAATGATTTTATTATATAAAAGCGCGGGGTGCTTTTCAGTATATTATCAAAATAGCCCTTCTACTCNTAAAAAAAAAGAAAAATTTGAAATTAAAAATTGAAAAATAAATAATCGTTTAAAAAAACTAACAAAATACGCTTTTATAGAAAATCCAACTAAAAAATAGAAAAAAAAATTTAATGAATTTGAATTAAAAATAGTGTAAGAAGAAATGATTTTATTATATAAAAGCGCGGGGTGCTTTTCAGTATATTATCAAAATAGCCCTTCTACTCATATCTGTTCATAAAATATTATAACTACTGATACCACATGCACCCCACGCTTTTTTTACAATAAAATCATTTTTTCTATATTTTTTAGTTGAATTTTCTATAAAAGCGTATTTTTTAGTTTTTTTTAAACTCTAATTTATTTTAAGGTTCATATCTTAGTTTCTTGCGTCAGGATCCAGAAACACCATCGTTGCCTTCGCTTCCGATATAGGTCCTTATATCCGGTACATTCATTCCTACTAAGCATTACTCGACGCGTAGCGCTGGGTGTAACTCGATTCGCCGACAATATCAATGTCACTGTCGCTATGATCCGAATCCGAATCGGACGTGTGGGTGGTCGAGATTCTAGAATCTTCCTGCGCCTGTAAAAAAAAAACGACTCACAATCAACTATTCACATCGAGGGTACAATGTCGCTTTCTTCCCACTACAGAGAAGCTTTTTTTTATTTATTGCTTAGATGGGTGGACGAGCTTACAGCCCACCTGGTGTTAAGTGGTTACTGGAGCCCATAGACATCTACAACGTAAATGCGCCACCCACTTTCAGATATAATATAAGGTCAATTAACTTTAGCGCGTCTCAAAGCGTTTTTACTGTCATACTAGGCCGCCCCAGAACAACTTGGCGTCGCTCGGTGCTGCAGAAGCTAGGCATCTTGGACATGACGCGGGAGGATCTAGAACAGACTGCCCAAGACCGATGTAAATGGAAGGATTTGATTCGAGCCCTACACCCCAGCAGAGGGTAATAGAAAAGAATGATGATGATGTCATACTAGGCATGAGGCCCACATAAGAATAGTCGTCGTTGCATGTTACTGTCTGGAATGCCAAGGACCAGGAATGGCAAGGACCAAGGACCAGGCCGCTTCCAACACAGAATGCTCCCCGCAAACCACGTTTGAACAAAGACATGGCCAAGTGCTTCAATAACTAAAGACTAACAACGAAATCTTTTTTTTTTATATCTTAAATGGGTGGCCGAGCCCACAGCGCAGCTGGTGCTAAGTGGTTACTAGAGCCCATAGACATCTACAACGTAAATGCGCCACCCATCTTGAGACATAAGTTGTAAGGTCTCAGTATAGTTACAACGGCTGCCCCATCCTTCAAACCGAAACGCATTACTGCATCACGGCAGAAATAGGCAGGGCGGTGGTACCTACCCGCGCGGACTCACTCACTCTCAGTATAGTTATCTCCTCACCTTCCTACAGTCCGATAAGGCTTGATGCTTCGCCGTAAAATCGACGGCCGCCGTAGAATCTGTGACCAAAGACAATCTCAATATTATATGGGACTTTTTTGCGGGAACGCGAGGAATGAAGTTGAATTTGTTTTATTTTGTCTATTTAGTGTTTCTTCAGGTTTAAATTTGTAATAACGGTGGTTTATTAACTGTTTAATATAGCTGTGAAAGTGCACAAATGTGGGAAAATGAAGCAAAGCCGCTGAACGTAACTTCTCGGAATCCTCCAAAAAGTCCACTGAAAAACTAAAAAGTTTCAGTAAATGACCACCATTTTACTGAGATTTCATGCCATATCATCTCATCGCATTTAATTTCACTTCATTTCATACCATGTTTCATATTAATCAACTTCATTTCATTACATATTATCATTTTTCATAAAAATTATGAATGTTTTAGCGCGCGACTCCGGCCGCGTGGAATAGGCAATAAAAAAAAATTAAAAAAAGTTATTTTGGCATAACGCTAAATTTTACTCCTCACTTCATTTACGTAGAAAGTGAAAATATTTTTGATTTATAGAATGTTAAGGAAGCTATTTAAACCCCTATTTAGAAACATTCTTTATTGGTGCTCCGCTTGTATTGGTCTTACCGTGATGTTATATAGCCTATAGCCTTCCTCAATAAACGGGCTATCTAACACTGAATAATTTTTCAAATCGGACCAGTAATTCCTGAGATTCCAGATCCAGCCCACTGAGTTTCTCGCCGGATTTTCTCAGTGGGTCGTAATTCGGATCCGGTGGTAGATTCTGCGAAGCACTGCTCTAGTTAGGGCTAGTGTTAGCAAATTCTCTCAGGTTGAGCCCGTGAACTCACCGGGCGTATCTGGAATAGCCTGTTAGTCTACCAGCGAAAAGGTAGGAAAAAAATCGTTAAAAAATTTAGTTTGTTTGAAGTTCGACCATACACTAAAACCACGTGATTCCTAAACATAGCTTATATTAGCTTTGTAAGTAGGTATGTATGTTTGTTATTTAGTACTTTTTAAGGTCAGTTAGGTCCGATGTGTAATATTAAGTTTTAAAGTATGTATGTATTATAGTAGTGGTTCCCCAGTAGTCGAAAATTTGTCTATAATTAATTGAAATTATAAGTTTTAACATTATTATGGTTCTATAGTCAAAGACTATACTTCTTTAGTCACAGATTTCGCCAAGACTACACTATAGACAAATAATAATAAAGACAAATAATATTAAAGAAAAACATTATTAATCTATTCTCAATTTGACCACAGACTATAACAATAAACAAAAGAGTATATACCTATACGTGCGTGTGTTAAATACATGGTAGTGTTTGTAATGTTTTATTTATTTATTGCTTCAATGTATTTTATATAGATGATTAATAAAATATTAGCATCCTGCACTCCTTCTCTACACTCTCTATAAGTGTGGAAAATTTCATACTCCTCCGTTCGCGTAATTTTCGTAAAAAGGGGTAGGTACAAAGTTTTTGCTTCGCGTATTAATATATAGATATACACATAAAATTACAACGCGTTAATTTATGCACAAAAACTCGGAAATGGGCTGGTCACATTGCGAGGCTTAAGGTCATCCGTAATGGACCATAAAAGTAACATTTTGGAAAGACCCACTAGGTAAAAGGAACAGAGGTAAACCATTGACTCGTTGGGAAGATGAGATTGTAAGGACAGAGACAAATGGGCATCTTTGATGGAGGCGTTTACCCAATACAGGGTTTCTACATAAAACTACCAAAGTGTATTAAATTATTTAAGTGATCATACTTGTTAATAACTGTTAAAATATTCAGTAGGAAATAAAAGGCTTATTATTATTACTAGAGGTCCCGCAGTAGTCGAAATTCGACTATAATAAAATTAATTGGAAATGTAAGTTTGTACACTATTATGATTGTATTTTATAACTCTATAATCACAAATTTCGCCAAGACTACACTATAAAAAAAAAATAACAAAGACAAATCATATTCCATTCTCAATTTGACAACAGATGTCAAGAACAAAAGTTTGACAATAAATAGTATGCATGCGTGTGTGCCTCAAATACACGGTATGTAGTGTGTGTAATGTTTTCTTTATTGATTTAATGTATCTTTTATGTATTATTTTATAAAAATATTAGCATTGTGCACTTCTTCCCTATATTCTCTATAAGTGTGGAAAATTTCTTACTCCTCCATCCGCGCAATTTTCGTAAAAAGGGATACAAAGTTTTTGCTTCACGTATAAATTATTATTATACGCATAAAATAGAGGTGAATGTACCTACATACGTGCGTAATGCATTGCTTTTTGTTTGTAAGCTTAAATTTATACATAAATAACTCTTTTCTTTTTTCCTTTGTTCATTTTCTACTTACCTATATGTAACTTTGATGGTGGAAACTCGTTCTGGGTTTTTGTTTTAGCTACTTTTTAATATATAATATTATATGTTTGTTTTGTATTGTTGGTCTTACAAATAAGTAAACAAAAAAATAATAAATAAAAATGTATTTTTTGTATGTGCCTAAGCCAAATTTTTAATGTCATTTTCATTGACACATAAGACATCGGATTATCTTGTAAATTTGTTTATACTTAAGACACTGATGACCATAAAATAACTTTATAGATTCACTCTAATATCCTGACTTGATAGGATAAAAATAAAGAGGCGATTAATTGTTTTATTTTTTATTTTTTCTGTTTAAGCGAGATATTTTTATTTATTTTTAAAACTATATGCGTATGTGTATAACAACAGATGTTCTTTAGTTTTTTTGTATAGAATTCAAAAGAAAAATTACATAAATTCTTAATTGGAAATTTGCCGCCATTACTAAATAAAAAACTCTTTCGACAAACAATATAGAAAGCGATACTTAACTGTCTTGTCTTCTCCCATTTTTATATACATACATACATACATATATACAAAAATGTACGTAAGATAATTGACCTTCCCACAGCCAAGACGTCAAATTCCCACAATAAATTGTGCCGTTCAAATTTCGCCGCTAACTCCTCATTCAAAGTGCGCTGATTGCTTTGTTAACGTAAACCGCTACATCGTTAATGCATTACAACACAAACTGAACCTTAAAGCTCGGTACTCAAGTCACTAAACAACTTACGAAACAATTTTCGAGAAAGCTTGCAGAGCTTGAAGATTTCGACTCTATTCCGAAGGTGATACAGTCGTTATTCTAGTGTAGATTCAGTTAAGACGTTGCTAGGCAACCAAGACGGCCATCTTGTCTTCAGAATTCAATTATGGAACGTCTTCGGTTGCGGCGCGAAATTCCGCCAACGTAAATAAATATGAATTCCGACCAAAAGGTTTGGGAGTGCTTCGAATAACAAAAGCCTAAGTATATTTACAGATTTGTAGACAAAAATACGAGCTAATGGCCCATCTCATGTTAAACCGGGCCCGTGGACATCAACAACGTGATTGTCACTTAAGTAGTTTTTTTTAATACATACATACATAGGTATATACAGTCTATATTTAATAGTGTATCGCCATGCGCAAGCGACTGTTTCTTAATATTAATATTTTAATTTTGACTAGCGGCCCGCTCCAGCTTCGCTCGGATTTTTAACAAAAATTTCAAAATTATTAATTAGAATACACACACCACTCTTCTATTGCGTCAGGTTACTAAAAAAAGAAAATTATAAAGATGGTTTGAATATTAGTATTTTAATGAACTTTTATATTCATTTAATTATTTTTTTGCTATTATTTTATTATTTTTCTAATTTTCGTAAAAAGGTCATATATAGGTGGGTGGCGCATTTACGTTGTAGATGTTTATGGGCTCCAGTAACCACTTAACACCAGGTGGGCTATGAGCTCGCCCATCCATCTAAGCAATAAAGAAAAATAAAAAAAATATCTACTAAGTAAAAACCATTGAGTTTATTGAGTCAGAGATTCCCTGTAAACAATATTTGACGCTATTTTATTTTTTTAAATAAAAGAACACTTATTGTGGCATAACTATAATAGTTAGAAATATTATAATACTGTCCCGACACTTTTTGTAAATAATAATGTATTCTTCAAAGTCATCTATATATAAAAAATGAATTGCTGTTCGTTCGTCTCGCTTAAACTTGAAAACGGCTGAACCGATTTAGCTAATTTTGGTCTTGAATTATTTGTGGAAGTCCAGAGGTTTAAAAGGTAGATAAATATGAAAATACTCGAAATTAAATAAAAATAACAATTTTGTTTTTCCTTTGATGTGTCCCCCGTCGGACGGATTTCTTTTGTTTGTTTTAAGCTTATTTTAGACAAAAGTTTAGCTCTTTTATTTATCGATTGAGGCACTTCGAAGTCTGCCGGGTCAGCTAGTAGTACATTATTTTATTCTATCTACAATAGTTTTCGCAGGGCACGCGATGTGGGTGCGGAGGCGCCCGGTGCTTGACACTAAGGTCCTGTGGGGTGGTGGTGCGCTGTGGCTCCGGTGCGCCCCTCACGAGTCGTGGAGATGAGAGGGGGAAGAAGTCCTCGGTGGCAGATCCCGCCCAACGTAACATTGGGGCGGGAGCCGGCGAAGGCGCCATAGCGCGCACATAGCGGTACCTGGGTCCCCGTCCAGCCGGAGTGGAGGTGCTCGTTGGGGTTTAGACGGTAGTCGTTAAGCTGGACGGGTTTGGCGAGAACCGAACTTAGCCCAGCGCGCCTTTCTAAAGGCGTAGTCTCCTATGACTAATTGGGGGAGGGCACGGACCTCGGTTTGCGACCTCTCCCTCTTTTTCCACTGGAGGCACGGAGTCCGACATAACCTGGTCCAACCCCCGTCGGCAGGGTATCCGTAAAGACTGGGATTACCCATCGATACCCAAAAAAAAAAGGGCACGCGATGTAAAGAATATTTTAGGTAATTTTTTTACACCTTGGGTTATATTATTGAAGTTTTAGTAACCATCCCTAATTAAAAAAGGAAGGCTGGCAGGAGCTGGATGAGAGAAGCCGAGGATTGTGTACAGTGGCGAACAATTGGAGAGGCCTATGTGCAGCAATGGACTACTATAGGCTGATGATAATGATGATGATAAAAGGCTATTTAGTTTAAGTTTTATTACTGGTGGTAGGACCTCTTGTGAGTCCGCGCGGATAGGGACCACCGCCCTGCCTATTTCTGCCGTGAAGCAGTAATGCGTTTCGGTTTGAAGGGCAAGGCAACCGTTGTAACCATACTTGAGACCTTAAAACTTATATCTCAAGGTGGGCGGCGCATTTACATCGTAGATGTCTATGGGCTCCAGTAACCACTTAACACCAGGTGGGCTGTGGGCTCGTCCACGTATCTAAGCAATAAAAATAAAAACTCAATAACGCGTTTGCCCCAACGGTTTTCGGTTGTCCGGCTGATAATAGCCTTTCAACCCTCAGATATATTCATGTGCGCGAGCCCAAAAGTGCACCTTGCTACTCCTTCACCGCTTGAAGCCGGATCGAAAGACTGAAGTTTCGTCCAAGAACAATTAGTCAAACATCAATAATTTATAATCAGTCGCTGAGTTTGTAGCACAGAGCTACGAACTTCATCAGAGAATGTATTACGGGAATAGTTCATTTAATTTTAGGGCTTCAAATCAACACACGCTAGCGATATAAGCGTTTCAAGGTTTAGTTTTACAACTTACTAGTGGTAGGAGCTCTTCTGAGTCCGCACGGGTAGGTACCACCACCCTGCCTATTTCTGCCGTGAAGCAGTAATTGCGTTTCGGTTTGAAGGGTAGGGCAGCTGTTGTAACTATACTGAGATCTTAGAACTTATATCTCAAGGTGGGTGACGCATTTACATCGTAGATGTCTATGGGCTCCAGTAACCACATAACACCAGGCTGTGAGCTCGTCCAACCATCTAAGCAATATAAACAAATATAATCTTGTGTAGTCTTGGCGAAATCTATGATTATAGAACAATTAAGAAATGCGACAATAGAAATGTGATAATAATGCTCAAATGTTTTTTTTATGGGATTTTATGACCTGGTAACTAAGACCTTTAGGTCATTTCTTATTTTAATTTATATTCAATTCTTATTTGTACGAAAAGTGATAATGTGGAGTGAAATGAAATAAAATGAAGATGATTAATTTAAGACATTAATTAACTGGGATGAAATTAAATGAAATGAGATGAAATGATATGGGACGAAATACAATCTCAGTAAAATGGTGGTCATTTACTGAGATTTTTTCAGTAGACTCTTTGGAGGATCCTGAGAAGTTCGTCCAGCGGCTTTGTTTCATTTTCACACTTTCGTGCACTTTCGCAGATATTAAACAATTAATAAACCACCATTATTACACATTTAAACCTGAAGAAACACGAAATAGACAAAATAAAACAAATCACACAACTTCACTCCTCGCGTTCCCGCCAAAATTGCCCTCAAACTTATAATTTAAATTAAATACGGTCGAGTTTTGATCACTGTGCGACCACTAGTAACAATTAATAGTTGAGATTTTAAATACTGCATATTTTTTTAACAGCACACACTAATACACAAAATATTACATTTTTCAACAGTTGACTGTATTTAAAGCAGCTATAGGTATTCATATAATTTACACTTCCTACACTAGCGCTATTTCGGTGAGTCTTCCAAAAACAACTTGCTGTTTACAGGTCGACACTTTTTCAACCTGTCCCCTAGACAAGATTATGTTCCTGACTTCTAACCTCCATAATTTTATAATTAAAGAATTTTTACTAAAAGCCATACAAAAAAAAGATGAGAAAAGGTATAATGTACGTCATTTCAAAATCGATTTTCTAATAGCCCAGCAAAACGTCTTACTCCTCTGCTGCTGTTGCTTCCTCATCTGCTTCTTGTGCTTCATCCGTCGGTTCTGGAACCACGTCTTCACCTGGGTTTCGGAGAGGTTCAGCGCTCCAGCTAGCTCCACTCGCTCAGGAGTCGAAAGGTAGCGCTGCGACTCGAACCGTTTCTCCAGACCTTTCCAACGAAAGCATACGCTTGTAAAGCTAAATAGAACGAAAGTGACTTAAAGAAGAACCTGCTGAGTTTCTCGCAGGATCTTCAAAGTGGGTCACGATTCAGATCCGGTGGTAGATTCAGCGAAGCACTGCTCTTGTTAGGGTTAGTGTTAGCAAACCCTCTCAAGTTGAGCCCGTAAGCTCACCTACACGTCAAGGCGTAGTTGGAATAGCCGAAAATCGTAACACTGATAAAGTCCCCAATCAGCTCTCTTCGACAATCGTAGCTCGTATTGTCTTAAGCGCGTAAGAGATACTAAATTACGGAATTAAACTCGATGCGGCCTAAAGGATAATGCGGTAGGTATGTTTGATCTTTGTTTTTTTTTCATGTTTGAAGTGTTACTGGTGGCCCTGAGGCCTTCTCAGTTTCTCCAAGACAGGTGGGCGAGCAAAGGCTCACTCAGGAGGGGTAGGATTTGCTAACAACTGCCCGAGCGCCTCCTTAACAACTCAAGAGCAGTTGCTTCGCGAATGAATCTACTATCGGATCGGAACCGCGCCCCGCTGAGAAGATCCGGCGAGAAACTCAGCGGACTGACGTATGGGTTAAGTTACACGTCGAACTCTTTGCCGAGTTCGAAGAGTACCGTTACTAGGGTCTCTCCTAGTATTAGAGCTGAAGGCGTCTAATGCAAGAGTTATTGGATCTCATGGATCCGTAAGGACGTGTCTAGGGCAAACTCTTTGTCTTGGTGTTCATTATCTATATATAATTAAACGTATGTCAGTCTTTAATACAATAACACAGGGAATCCTAAATTAGAGCCGGATAACCGGGCGTGATTCGTTCCCGGTTACAAAGATTCGTTACTTAATTCGGCAGCTATCTCTTTAGGTGATGATATAGAACATGATTAGACTGAAATACTGGAAGGACTAACAGAAGATTCTACCTGTTAGTTGAGGGTCCGAGAAGACTGTTCTGGCCTTCCGTCGTCTGCAGTGCTTTAGCGCAGACAGCGATAGCTCCGAAGGCGTGAACAAAGCGTGATACGGCACACCTGTCAACACAATTTCAAGGTTTTCAACACCACGTATGACGTCAATTGTGGCTAGAAACAATGTGGTAATCGTAGATTATACGCTAATACACAAATTTGAACACATGTGACGTAACGCAGTGTGATTGGTATCTGAGAAGAGTTTAGTAATCTATCTATCTATCTTATCTATCTATATACCTAGTATATAAAAATGAATTGCTGTTCCTTAGTCTCGCTATAACTCGAGAAAGGCTGGACCGATTTGGCTAATTTTAATCTTGAATTATTTGTGGAAGTCCAGAGAAGAATTAAAATGTAAATAAATATGAAAATGCTCGGAATTAAATAAAAATAACAATTTTGTTTCTCCTTTGATGTGTCCCCGTCGGACGGATTCCTTTTAATTGTTTTAAGTTTATTTTATACAAAAGTTTAGGTCTTTTATTTATCGATTGAGGCACTACGAAGCCTGCCGGGTCAGCTAGTTTATACCTAAATAAAAATTAAAATGACGATCGTTACAATTTAACTAGTGTTCGTCCTCTAATCGAGATTCGACCGTAAACTGTGTTAACCAGGGCTTACATTAATTTAATAAAATTATTACATTATCTCTTTTGGTTTAAATTTCGCAAAAAATAATAATTCTCAAAGAATAAAGTTAGGTTTAGAAATAGAAGGAATTGATACCACACTGTCATATACTTGCCTATTTATAAGCTAGCGCAAAGAATTGCGGGAGGCAGGCAAATTGAAGAAAAAATTTCGCACATCAAACTTACTGATGGTAAGATGTCTTTGTGAGTCCGCAAGGGTAGGTACCATCACGCCACTTATTTCTGCCGTGTAGCAGTAATGCGCTTCGGTTTGAAGGCTGCAGGGCAGCTGTTGTACTGTTAAAACTGAGACCTCACGACTCATATCTGAGGTGGGTGGCGGCATTTACGTTGTAGATGTCTATGGGCTCCGGTTACCACTTAACACCAGATGGGCCGTGAACTCGTCCACACATCTAAGATATAAAAAAAAGCCAAAGTTAGAAAAAAGCGTCTATATTTTGAATCTGATATGCAATTTCTTTTTAACTATTATTAAGAACAACGCAATTATTATTTTTTCGGTAATAATTGTACACAAGTGTATATCTTATTCGCACATATATTAATACGTGAAGCAAAAACTTTGTACCCCTTTTTACAAAAATTGCGCAGACGGAGGAGCATGAAATTTTCCACACTTAGGTACCTATAGAGAATATAGAGGAGTGCAGAATGTTTTTTTTAATTATGCATAAAAATACATTAAATCAATAACAAAATATATGACACACACTGACGTGTATAAGACATACACACACATATATACCTACTCTTTTGTTTATTGTTAAAGTCTGTGCTCGAATTGAGAATAAATTAATATTGTTTGTCTTTAATATTATTTTATATAGTAGGTATAGCGAAAGGTGTGATTAAAAAGTCATTGACAATAGAATCTTAATATTGTTCAAAGTTATAATTTAAATTAATTACGGTCGAATTTCGAAGGCTGGGCGCCCACTAGTTTGAATTAATATTTATCAATATTTTCGATTCTTACAGTATTAGATTCGATCTATTATGGTTTCATTACCTAGTTAAGATGGCTTCAATTTCAAATTGTCTACACTTTATTGCAGGCAAAAACTTAAGGCCGTACCTCCAGTAATTTGGTTTGATTCGACTTCTTCAAAGAAAATTTAACGAAGATTAGACCAAGATTTTGCTGGAACGTTCTAGAAAACTATCTATTTTATATAAGTATCTTGTAGGCCGTCTTTATATATGTTAGAGGAAGTCTGAAAGTGGCAGCTGTGACAGAGAAGTTGAGAAACGCGTTTGGGATGGTATGGACATGTGATAAGACGAAATGACAATTAGGTTGGTAAGAGAGTTTTAACTGTGAATTTGGAAGGCTTAACAGGAAGAGGTAGACCGAAGAAAAAATTGATGGATTGCGTGAAAGACGATATGTGTAAGAAGGGAATGAGCGAAGAAATGGTATATGATAGAGGAGTATGGAAGGAGAAAACATGTTGCGCCGACCCCAGGTGACTAGGAGAAGGGTAGGAGAATGATGATGATGATCTAGGTGGCTTTGGTGACGACCATGAGCGATGGAAACTACTCTCGATGAAGTGGGCCGTATGCTTGTCTGCCTACATGGGCAATAAGAAAAAAACCAAAAGGTATCTTCTTCGGTCTTCGAGAAATTTAGACATAATCGTAAGCACTCTTACGGTTTAATTTCGCTTGTATTATTGACGTTACTTAAAACGTTACACTTTCAATGTTCACGACTGACTGAAGCAACATTATTAATAATAATGACAATAAAAACGCGCTATCTATAAAATACCAAGTTTTTTGAAAACAAAGCTGATTAATTCCATGTACCAAATACACACGAAGTGACATGTTATTATTATACGAGTATTATTCAATTATTTATTTGTTATAGGGATAGACACACACAGACTCTGTCATTGTCGATAATTTAATAACATAGCTTCGCGGTAAAAATAGGTAGGATGATTGTATTATGTATGTAAGCGGGAAATCCAATGCGGTAACAAAACTTACCTTGCGACAAAAAGTAAGGGGGTTCGACCGCTTTATACGTATTAGGGGTGTGCAGGTAAGCGCCTAGGGCTCCCATGGCGACCTGCAGATACCCTTCCCTGGTCTGGTGAGGCCTGACGTCGCCAGCCACGGAGAAGTAAGGCCGCGGCTCGTAGTCGAGTCTTCGCTCGACATTGGGAACTTTGAATCGATTGTCGCCTCTATAAAGTATGTCTTCTATGAGGAATGAAGTTTTTGAATTGTGTTCCGGACGATTTGAATTTGTTGTTGGCGAATCGCTTCGAGTCTCGTGTTCCATTTCGTTTCTTTTTTTTTTAGTTTTATTTAATTTTCAAATCATTCTAAATAGTTCTAGAACGTTTCGCTCCCGTCGATGAAGCAGCAATATTTTTAAAGTTTCACACAATTTTGAATTCGGAACTCTTTATCACTTCACTGCGCGTCAACAAACATTTAAACTACTATTTTTTGAATGGATTAAAAAAAAAGAAAAAAAATTCGAATTTGGAATTATGTTTTTGTGGGCTGTCCATTCACAGGCCGCTTCGGTCGTTCGTCCGGAAATCGATGACAATTAACGCGGTAATTGTCGGTTGTTTGGTTGAAACGAGGCGATTTCGTCCGCGGGCCGGGATAAACTGTCGCGCCGGGGTGGGTCGGGGTGGCGCGCCAGTGAATGGGAACGCCTTACAGGGTGGGGATCGGGATAACGATGTTCTTTATTTTTTTTTACGTTCCGAACACAGGTTACTGGCTGGTTTTATTTTTAATTTTTTTCGAGCATTTAAATTTTATTCGAAAATATATTTTGTTTGTCGCTAATTCGAATTTGTATTTAATTATTTTCAATCATTCGTTTATTATTGGTTTTTAGTTTTAGTTAAGTTAAATTTCCTCTTTGTTATGATAATAGACAGTAAAATGACGAAAAATGAACTATTAGCTTGGCTCTATTACGAGTAGCTTGGTACGTAAGCATTTAAATTTGTTTAAAACCTAATCTTTGAAGGTAATTTCCATCGACTCCAAGACGGGTGATGAACTTGAGCATTCGTGGGCGCATCAAGAGCCGATGATGATACAATAATTTCTTTATAACTTCGCTCTGATATCCTGACCAGTGTCGACAGGTCAAAAAAAAAGTAAATTAATCATCATTTTTATTTATCTTTAAGCTGATTCAAACGGATTAAACGTGCTCACAATCTACCTGATGATAAATGGCTAGCGGTGCCCATGGACATCAACAACGTATCTAAATGCCGCCACTCACCCTAGCACATGTTGGACAGTACAACGGCCGCTCCTACCTTCAAACCGAAACGCATTACTGCTTCACGGCAGAAATAGGCAGAGCGGTGGTACCTACCAGTGCTTTGCCTACCATCACTTATTAACCATATTTTGGGATTGACTTTTACGAGACATTGTTATTAATTCACCGCGGAGGTCATTTGTGATCTTGTATTTTTTTCCCCTAACTATTCGCCGGTAGCCTAGGGAGCTATTCCGGCTTTCCGTGGACAGGTAGGTGAGCTCACGGGTTCGACCTGAGAGAATTTGCTAACACTAGTCCTAGCAAGAGCAGTGCTTCACTGAATCTACCACCGGATCGGAAACGCGACCCACTGAGAAGATCCGGCGAGAAACTCAGTAGGCTGTATCTATGGGTTAGTTGGTGATCTTGTATTAAATGAGAATTTCATTAGAACAACATGTGCCAATGGACCACACACGTACAGATATGCTTAGAATAATATTGTAATTATCACGAGTACAAACGTCTAGGCTGTTAGGCCACGCACGCTTTGTTAAAGACAGTTGTAAATCGAAAATTGTTTATTTCTTACGTTTATTTCTATAACGTCTTGTGAGTCCGCACGGGTAGGTACCACCACCACCCCGCCTATTTCTGCCGTGAAGCAGTAATTCCATTCAGTTTAGAGGGTTGAGCAGTCGTTGTACTGTAAAACTTGAGGTCTTAGAACGCGTGTCTCAATTTAGGCGGCCGCATTTAGTGACGTTGTTAATTATGAGATCCGGCAACAACTTAACACCAGGCGGGCCGTGACCTCGTCCAGCCATTTAAGCAATAAAACAAACACCCAAACCAATAAGCTACTTCTCTATCTCCTTCCCATCTCGTCTGCTCTGGTGTACATAAGTCGGTCGATATGTGATCCATGTCACGTAAACAGCAGTAAAAAGAGTTACCAACACATAAAAGGTATAACCCGGGCATATTGTGTTAAATTGCCGTAAGACGGTGTAACCAGCTCGGATGATCCGGGCATTCGGAGTACCGCGAACGAATAGTTTTGATACTTTACGTTACGTAAAAGCGTAATATTAATTATCAAATACATAACAAATGTTCGCGATTGACTTCCACGGTGAAGGAATAACATCGTGTAATAAAAATAAGAAACCGGCAAAATTTTAATTTGCGTAATTACTGGTGATAGGACGTCTTGTGAGTCCGCACGGGTAGGTACCACCACCCTGCCTATTTCTGCCGTGAAGCAGTAATGCGTTTCGGTTTGAAGAGCGGGGCAGCCGTTGTAACTATGCTGAGACCTTAGCACTTTTATCTCAAAGTGGGTGGCGGCATTTACGTTCTAGATGTCTATGGGCTCCATTAACCACTCAACAGCCGGTGGGCTGTGAGATCGTCTACCCATCTAATACAAAAAAAAATTACATTTTTAACTTTATCTCGTGAAGATGCTTGTTAATTTGCTGTGTAAATCTGTTGGTTTTGAGAGACTTTGCTGAAAGATGCAAAGGTTATAGCTGAAGAACACCAAAACACGTCCACAGATAACAGGGCAGCTAAGATCGGGCTTGGAGGGGCTTCATCTTAAAAGCACAATCAAAGGGGTAGCTTATCCAATATCAGATTCCTCTCCGTGTTGCATCAGGAAGGTAAAAAGGGGCAAAGCTGATTTATTCATCGCTTACCTCCCCACACCTCTAAAAAGAGATTAATGAGTCTCTGACAATATCAATTACGGTTGGTTAAATTTTGAACATGCAAATATAATGTGTTATCTTTTTATTGCCCTTGTAAGCAGACGAGCATACGGCCCACCTGATGGTGGGTGGTTGCCGTCGCCCATGGACTTCAGCAATCCAAGGAGCAGAGCCAAGCAGCTGTCTACCCTTAAGTAGTCTCCACAAGCCTCGTTTGAAGAAGGACTTGTCATAGCGCTCGAGAAACACCGTGGAGGGGAGTTCATTCCAATTTCCAAAAAAGAAGAAAAAAATTTCCTTGGTTAATGCATAGGACTCTGCCTTAAGTGGTCACTGGGGTCCATAGACAGCACGATCCACATTAAGCGCCGGGTTCAACCAAACGCTTCCGAACCCTAAAACAATCCACTGTTTTTAGCGCAGTAATATTTGTTAATCTTTCACGAAAGTATCAAGACTGTTCGCGTGGGGTTCCTTCAGGCCCCTTGCTCCCCACCCCTAATCTCGGCTCAGGCGTGGCCTACCCCGGTCGGCCAATAAGGACAAACGGCGCGCGCTCCTTTCGTCCTCACGCCAATAGGAGTCCGCCAACTGCGAACAAAGCCCTACAGATTTGGGGTCAGTTGCGACGATTTGGATGATTATTTTTTTTTGTGTGTGAAGAACGACGACTAGGCTCGCTCTCCCGGTTTCGTTTGCGTTTTAAGCTAAAAAAATTCTTTGTTAAATTGTTCTTTTTGGAAGTCGTCGTGGCCTAAAGGATAACACGTCCGGTGCATTCGTATGTAGCGATGCACCGGTGTTCGAATCCCGCAGGCGGGTACCAATTTTTGTAATGAAATACGTACTTAACAAATGTTCACGATTGACTTCCACGGTGAAGGAATAACATCGTTGTAATAAAAATCAAACCCGCCAAATTATAATTTGCGTAATTACTGATGGTAAATGCGCCATCCACCTTGAGATATAAATTTTAAGGTCTCAGTATAGTTACAACGGCTGCCCCACTCTTCAAACCGAAACGCATTACTGCTTCACAGCAGAAATAGGCAGGGACGCGCGGACTCAGAAGTGGTCCTACCACCAGTAATTACGCAAATTATCATTTTGCGGGTTAGATTTTTATTGCACAATGTTATTTATTCCTTCACCGTGGAAGTCAATCGTGAACATTTGTTAAGTACGCATTTCATTAGAAAAATTGGTACCCGCCTGCGGGATTCGAACACCGGTGCATCGCTACATACGAATGCACCGGACGTCTTATCCTTTAGGCCACGACGACTTAAACTTATTTTTCTTCTATACAAAGCTGGTTCTGTCAGTAAAAAGCACAATAAAAAAAGAAGGTAACAAACAAAAAATCTATTGTTTCCTCTTCTTCTATTCACGGTTCATTATTTTGCGGATAATCGCTTACACATAAAACATAGATATATGCTGTCGCGTGCTTTTTTGTAGGAATATTTATGATAAACATTTCCATTTTACTTTTTAAATGTGTAGCTCGGTTTTTGCAACGCACGCCAGAATAGCTCGCAGATGGCAGATTTTTTCCTGCTTACTTGACACTTATCGTTATATTTTGGGTAATTCATACTATATCTTTATAAATTACTAGCGGCCCGCTCCGGCTCCGCTCGGGTCTTTAACAAAAATTTCAAACGATATTTGACGTTGTTTTTTTTTTTTTTAAAAAGAACGCTTATTGCGGCTCAACTACAATAGATACACATATGCTGTCAGCACACTTTTTGTAAACAATAATGTGTTCAAACACAAATTCGTAGTACATTATTTTATTTTATCATCAATAGTTTTCGCAGGGCACGCGATGTAAAGAGTATTTTAGGTAATTTTTTACAACTTGGGTTATATTATTGGAGTTTTAGTAAGGATCCCTAATTTTTTTCAAAAAATGTTATAGCCTATGGCACTCGGGAATAGTCTAGCTTCCAAACAGTGACAGAATTTTTCAAATCGCTTCAGTAGTTTCGGAGCCTATTCAATACAAACAAACAAACAAATCTTTCCTCTTTATAATATTAGTATAGACTAGCTGTAGCCGTCCGCTTCACTGGGCATTTAAAATTAACATTATTACTTCTTACCCCCACAAAGATTCTCATCACTGGTACCCCGCAACTGGTGTAGGGAGTCCAACACTCATATAAGTATTAGCCCATCCATTAAGTACATTTATTTTCTTCATGGATACCAAGTTTCAAGTCAATCGGATGTATAGTTCAATAGTTATAACAGAACATCCGTAAAATCCACTGTAGATATTAGTATAGATAGCCTGTGTGTTATTCTGATGTG